ATGTAGTTGTTCACCAGCATCACAATTCCATTACTTTTTTTCATGGCTTACCTTGGTGTGGTTTGCAAAGTGCTTCAGAAAGATGAGGAAATCTGTTTCTTGCACCCATCCTGATTTATTTCCATTACCAGTACTTCCTACTGGTCCATCTCTGACACAGTGGTCTGCATAATGTATGTGTGGGAACACAAACAGTGGAGGAATTGTGTTGCCAATGGCATTAACCGCATATACAGAAGCGACTAGTGAACCTCTCTGCTGATGTCGTTGCCCCAACTTGTTTAATATAAGTTAAAGTAATAGTGTGGTAAGTTGTAACATCTGCATTATTGTTACAACTAACCCAGACTGTTGCTGTTACAACTGACACAGACTCCTATAGCCATGAACTAGCTAAGATTACAGCCAACGGCTAAAACATTAGCACTAAAGACCTACACAGAATATATCCTCATAGACATACAAATAACATAATTTAAGTTTGATGAGTTTAACTGCAAAGCAGATAATGCTATTAGAAATTGAAATAAAGTAGAAAAACTTACTTTTCGCCATACAAATTACTTTTTTTCGTGTTAAATTGTCTGTGTTTGACAAAATGTGCTGATTTTTCACATGTGATAGCAGAACTGAGTTGGGCATGTACAGGATGAGTCACGTCATTTGAAACTTAGCCCTGATTGGAGAAACTGGAAGTGTTACAACTGACCCACGTTACAACTATCCCCGGTCTCCCCTACATGCAGTATCAGACACCACTACTCAACATGCTCACAATTTGTCATATGTCCTCTAGAATCAGTATATTTTATGGTCCTACTTGTGAAATTTCATACAAACCGTGCATGACTGGCCCTGCATGTCACGTGGCCAAACAAAGGTCAATAAGCCCGTTCAGTAGAGGGTTGTGCCTCCACATAGGGCAACTGAGCTGCTCAGATTTTATCTAGAGTTCAGAGGAATATTAGTGAGAGTCTAGCGCAAGGGCGTAGATTTGGTTTTGGCATTGGTGGGGACGGATGATTCAACCACTGAACCCTGCCCTGTTTCTTATTTTTGTCTTTTTTGTCTTTGCTTCTTGATAAAAAAGGAGAAATATACTTGCCTACATATGCTATTCTACATGCTTTTAAACCATTTAAAATTACAATTCATAGTTTTATATGTGAATTATATAATGTTAAATTACTATTAAACAAATGACTGACTAAGTATTTTAGGCTTTAGTTTACTTCAGCCATATTCCATATAAATCAGGTATCATGCTAAAATAAAATAGCTTCAAATACAGTCATGACAATAAAAGAATATGACTTTAAATGTAACATGGTAGACTAATGTGCCTGTGTTAATTCAGCTCCATATTATTGTGTGAAGTTGCACTGGGTTGGGAGTGGTTTTTTT